AATCAACAAGCCAATGTGTTACATATTCGATATGTTATATTATTACCTTACACTTTTCAGGTATACCAGTAAAATTCATAAACCTTGTTACATATTACACTACACTTTTCAGGTAAGCCAGTAAATTCACTGTGGAAAAGGAAATAATTCAATCCAACACTTTATTGATCAATTAAGGGCTCTTAATAAATTGAGGCAAAAAGAAAGTATGTACTATTAAAGTGCTTATATATAGTTGTATGTGTAATACATATACATATACATTATATAAAAGAGTTGCATGATTGAAAGAAAAAGACAATACACTACACGAAATAGAAGTAAAGATATACCACTTTATAAAGAGGATTTTATTGGGGGGAATTCCTAAGGTTTTATGTATAAAGAAACAAAATTGACCCAAAATTCTGCTGCTTCTGGTTTTCCTACAAATTTGCAAAATTAACAGACTATGAATGCTGCAAGTAATTGCAGGCATAGATCCAGGATTTTGCACTAGAGGTGCATGGTGCCATCAGAGCTCCTGAGTATCACAATCTGGGAACCTTATGTTAACGCAAATAACTGTAACTTATCTTTATTACATTAATGTATAACAGTAAAAAAATTTACCTGAATTTTTCCTTTTTATTTTAATGGGTGCGCACATCAGAAACACCCTTTCTAATTCTTGCCCCTTCATTGTAACATTTAAAGTTCGATATAAGGCATACAATTATATAATATTGACCAAACTTGAACAGTGGTTGCATCTTGGGAATCAAAGCATATACCTTAATGATGCTTTTGATGCTGCTTGTGACCTTTATTATTTTTTTTCAGGTGAGGAAGCATGTAATTTCCAAGAAAAGACTTTAAAGAATTTTCCAAGAAAAGACTTTAAAGAATTAAAAAAAAAAATTATGTCTATTTCCTAGCTAAAATACGATCAAACATACACACAATGTTGCATCACATTTATCATACTGTAAGAATATATTTATCAATGCCTGTAAGGAATGGACTAATATTGTCCGTCAACTAAAGGGTAGCTAGTTGGCAAAGAAATAAGTTATTATATCACCTCCATGTGTACATGTACATAAATTAGTTTAATGTTAGAAAATGTACTTTGCCTTAATGTCCACTGCACTCAACATTAATCAACACATGAACAATTTTTAAGAAGCATGATCATAATGTTCTTATAACATCAAGTCTCATTATTAAAAGAAACTTCAAATGTTACGATAACAAAATAGGCTTCACCATCACTGAAGTTCCTAAGTCAACAAGATGGCATTATAGAAATGTGAATTGAATTCTTTGGTTAGCTTCTCATTGATCCTTAAACAAATCCAACCATTTTTTTTTTTTTTTACAAAAAATTTATATCATATCAAAATGTCAAGACAAAAGCTTTGGCATGAATTTTTGAAATGACAGTTCATATTACACTTAAAAGGGAATTTTTGTTTCACGGGGGAGGGGGGGGGGGGGGGAGATGTTTTAAAAATATTTTCCATTGATTTCTGTAGTGCTCTTGTACTAGTGTTGGGAGGATATTTTGAAGTCAGCAAGCTAACCCCTCTTTGAGGGCAGCAAATGTGTTGAATGGATGAATGAATGGGTGAAAAACAAGAGTTTACCAAAATTTTAGATTTATCTCGTGTTGTTTTCCCAAATAAGAAATATTTTTATGAAAATCCATATAAATATCAATATATGTATATATTTTAAAAAAATTGAAAATCTTAACTTTTGAAAATTGACTTGGAGGTATAGGTGGGAGAACAATACTCTCGTTTGAAGTTCTTTACTTTAAAGGGGGAAAAACTGCAACCTTTATATACCCTGTAGATATCTGATCAGATTACTCAGAAGTGTTGAGTAATGTTACATCTACTGGACAGATAAAATTGCCAATTTTTTTTCCGTCCTAAGAAGATTATTATAAGAAGAGAGCAAACTTCATTTCTGTCACATTACATATTAAAATACATCTGAAAAAAAGCTCCCTTGTTGTAAAATTATGATCTTCATGTTAAATAATATTCTATGCCCATTTATTCAAATTATAAATTTAAAACTGGTTATTGCATACTTTATGTAAGAGTTCTAGTTATATTATCTATATATTATATTCCCCTCTAAGTCCCAAAACAATTGAATTCTTTAATATAACAAAGTTTAAAATATACCCGGTAAGTCAAATTGCCATATATATGAAGATGTTTTAATATCCTGATTCATATCTAAAACGATTAGAAAGACAAATTTAGCTCAACCAATTGCATGGTTGAATTTTCAACACTTAATTGAAAAGTGAAATAATATAGTTTGCTAGCTATTTAATTGAAACTAATATCTTGCTTATCTTATTCTTTATTGGTTTGGTGAAAAATTTCTATTACTAAAAGAATTAATTAGTTATTATCAACTTCCTTGAATAATAATTTACATATAAAAATAAGTGATAATTTAATATACTAATAAGTAATTTCAATTTAACAGTTATTTCATTGCTAAGATAATGAAAAACTATTGAAGACCCAGGGTCATATGATTAAACATGTTCAAAATGAGCAATTTATTATATTTCCAAATAAGTAATTTCACCTTAAGTGGAGAAGGCAGCTATTCACTGGCTGTTTTTGAAATATTATAGAAACTGAAATAATATACTGAATACATGTAAAAAAAAAAAAAAGTCATATACCATGTATCAATACCTGCTTGGCAAAACCAGAAAAATAAAAGGGAGTGATGGACCAAAATATATTTCTACATAACTTTCAAATAAAAAAAAGAAAGAAGGTAATTGAGGAATAAAAATGTTGATAAAATGAATTTGCATTTCCTTAAAAGCAATAAAACTGAGAAATATTTTGGTGATGATAAAAAATCATCAATTATTGTAGCTGCAGATCTGTAGCTCTCTGCTTGAGAAAATTCGGACAGATAAAGCAGAGAGCTACAGATTCATGCATTAATTGTAAAAACCTTCGATTTTCGCAGACGATTTTTAGTCGCTCACTTCGGGTATTTTTGCTTGTATTTCATACTTTCTTCAGCTCAAAAATGATTTTTAATAATTAATCATACATTTAACTTCAATTCCTGATAATTTACTTACCTTTCAACACTTACAAATGGTTGTTTGTGGTTGCTACATGAAATAAATACCTACAGTAGCGACAAAAAATCGTCGGCATAAATCGAAGGTTTTTACATTAACGCATGGATCTGTAGCTCTCTGCTTTATCTGTCCGAATTTTCTCAAGCAGAGAGCTACATTTTTTTAAATGTGTTGAAATTGTGGAGTTAAATACATTAAAAATGAATAAATATGTATACAACTACATATTTAATTATTGTGAACCTGAAACCGATAAATGTATTGTATGAAATATATACATTTAATAGCTCAATCCTTCTTTCATTGTACATGTACATGCATAATTAAAATGTAAAAGCACTATTACGACAAGCTATTAATATATATTATTTTTAAAGTTTATAGACAAACCACAGGGGTACGTATCTTATCCACTCTGTTCTCTACTTCACATATAAAATATGTATTTTTATATGTGAAGTAGAGAACAGAATATATAAAATACCCCTGTGGACAAACATAATAAATATCAAAAATAATGTTATTTCTATCATTTAAATTCTAAATAAATTTTACTTTCTATGGAGATGGTTGGAATTGACCTGAGAACAGATGTACTATAACTATTTTTTTTTTTTATAACCCAATTCGGTCAAACATTTTAATGAGATATGCATGCAATCTTCCCCCTGCTTGGAAAGCAAAATGTTAAAAAAGAAAATAATTTTTTTTTTAGTATTTTGATGGATTCAAATACCTATAGACATGTCAGTTTACTTATTTGCTTTCGTTGTTTAATATTTTTTTTCTAATAAATATTTACATTCCAATTCTTATGATCTTTAAAAATCATAATAGTTATTTTTTCTCCTTGTAAAATCATGCAGGTTTTATTAAAAAAAAATCTTCATTTAATTCCTTTACAATATATTGACATTTAATTTTTTTTAAACTAAATTTTTTTTTAATTTTACAGGTTCTGCTGCAATATACATGTAAGTGCAGGTGAGAACATATGCATTCATAAAATCTACGAATATTTCTTAAAATAACATTAATGTTCAATATCTTCATGTCTGAATGTAAATTCACCTCTAATTTATATCAACTCCGTCTACATGAAATAAAAACATTCTTTTCCCAAATAAATGGTAACAGTAAATCAATATTTAGTAACACCTAATTCCTCAGTTTTTACAAGGGTATGATATACAAACACATGCCAACTCAACTCAATTATATCTGGGGGTAGAGAAACTAGACCATGCACATAATTTTTCTTTTTCTCTCTCCACGAAATCAAATCAACATTTTAAATTAAAATCTCAAAGAAAGAACAATTATCTTATTATTTATAAACTCAAATACCCAAAGTAACAACATTTACTTTGCAAAGTCATAGGGAGAATACGTTGTCAATTCAGCCCCAGTGTACAACGCATTTTTGATTGTGTTGTACGAACAAAGATTTAAAAGCCTGGTTAAATAAAACAAACACTCCAGCATACACTTGTGAGTAGAACCTTTAGCCTGGATCTCCTTATTAAGGAGTTCTTCAGCACAATAGCTTTATTTCAATTTCTCCGGGCAGGAGGCAAATACGACATGCACTTCAGATCTTGAAATTTTAGGGTGTTTTAAAAATATTGAATTTGCAGAGGTTTGAAGCGTTTAAATTGAGAGTGGCCAGTTAAAGAAATTGTTCAGCATATATATTCAAATTCCAGTTCATTTCTAAATTGGTTGAAAAAATCTTTTGATATATTACTTCTTCATCAAGAATTTTAAATTTGTACCAACATTTGAAAGGGGGAAAAACATTATATGTTCAGCTTTGGTAATTTTGAAATTTCCCCTTTTTTTATTTCACACATCAGTTGCTTTAGCAACAAAAAAATCTTACCTTCAATGGACATCATTGCTCGTAATTCCCTATTCAACAATTCAAATCGCTTCTCCAAATCATCTTCCTTTTCTCTGGAAAAAAAATGTATATAAATATTTCACCACCTATAAAATATCCCTTTTGATTAGATTCTAAAATGAAACTTGAACTAAATTTACTTCTTCATTTATATAGTTAGTGAAGTTTGCAGGAAAGCTGATTTCTTAACAGGAATTAGAGTAATGGGTTTAGTGTTAAAGATGATAATATTTTCACAATATACTTATAAGACTTAGAAGTTTTCTCTTGAGAACTTGGGATCTTTATCCTGATTACAACCTTAATTCACGGAAAATCTTATTATTCCATCTGACGTTTCTTCAGCACATCTCAGAATTTTATGATATCCTACTGCAAGCATTCAAATAACTCCAGCCCCCCAATGTAAGAAGAATTTAGCAGATAAAAAGAAAGCTAAGTAGATTTGCAATAGGATCATAAGGATTGAATATATTGATGCCTCCCTATATGTTCAAGTCAACCTGAAATCCCTTTATAGCTTAGGTTCTTAAACACTGGATTTTTTTTCTTTCTTAACAAGTTGTGTGATAAATTATTCTCTTGCTTAAATATGAAAAATGCTCAGATCAGTGGAACTTAAGATGGACTAGTCAGCAAAAAAAGGGAGATAACTCCAAGTCGCAAAGGATTACAGTCATAACGTCATAAGAAGCCATTCTTAATGGCTTGGATTTTTCTTCCAATGCTTATTATCACCAGTTACTGTAATAGTTAACTACTAGTTAGCTTGTCCACACTTTCTCAATTTTTTCTCCTTCATAATACATATTCATGGCAAGAAACCATATTCCTTGAGAATTATTGTGGAAAGATCATGGGAACATTCTCTTAGCCATAAATAAATTATTAACGGGAATAATGATAAATGAAGAATTAAAACCGATTCATGCAGAGCTCTTTCGTGGCAGTTGTAAGTTTCACACACCCTGACAGCAAGCTGTCTCAGTGGGAACGATTCCTTTTACACTTTCATTGCCACCATCAAATCTTTCCTTGTTTGCAGGTCAAAACTTTTGACAAAATTTTAAATGTATATTTATAGTTTTATTATCTTAAGATTGCAATTAATCATCTTTGCTTCATCACATTTTATGTTGGAAACACCATGCACTAAAGGAATGACCTACCATTTACATTGTAATGTTCTCTCTCTCTCACTCTCTCTCTAAAGAAATTTCTAATTACTGTAAATGTATTTTATTTGGCGTGTACGGTATTTGATAGGAAATTGATTTTTCAACAAGTTAGCGTAGATTTGATTTAGCGCATTTCTTGCAATTTTCTTTTTCATGCATATATATATGCAAGTCATTTAGCGGTGTACTTGATTTAGCAGAAGTTTCTTTCCGCCATTTTTTTAAGGCGCTAAAAAGAATACACAGCCAAATGTAATGCGTATACAGTATGTTATATACATGTATCTATTAACCCTTAAAAAAAAAATATCTGAATTTGTATTCGAACAGAAGACTAAAATTATTTGGTACACGTAAATATAATAAGTCTGTAGGAAAAACATGGGGTGAAAATTGACGATGATTTCTCATCATCCCGACCTAATAAATTTAATATTACCACCTTTTACGCATTCATCAGGCATTAAATGTTACAAGGACTAAGTCTTTGAGGACTTTCAACTATTTCTGCAGTTCTTCGGCACTTGGCCAAGCTTTGTTAGACCACCAGTCTAAGAATCCCTGTTAAGCACATTCCACCTCTACCTGTTTTGTATTAACTAATGGATTTTTTACAGATTAGAACTCAAACCCAGGTGTATATTATATATGCAAAAGACAAACAAAAATATTCACAAGTCAATCCCTTCTTTTAAATGGCTCTTAGTTTTAATACTGTTTTAAGGCATTATCGTCCGATTTACGAGGGCAATAATTATAAGTAAAATATTGATATGCTGTGGTATGCGTAAAGTCCGTGTGTATATAACGGGGTTTATTATATAACGAGATCTCAGACGATAATCAGAAATGTGCACAAATTATTACACCGATTTATAAGCCTTGTGGAGTATTTTCTTTACTAAAATGATTACGCTTCCTGGTCTTAAGTTAAAGGAATTAGGACGATTGTTTATCCTACTGCTAAAATCGTAAAACCTTATCCATGAGTTCGATTATTAAAGCACATATATTTGTTTTTTTACATTATAAATACCTGTATTTGTTTTATTAAATATAATACAATTTACACAGGAATTGAATTTATCCAACTTTAATCCTTGCTTTTTTTTTGTGGTGGGAGGGGAAGTATTAATATTGCAAAAATAAATTAAATACGCTGACCCTAAATAAACATAAAGCTACGTCCTACAATAATTATAGACAAATCTGAAGTCCTTTGTTCCTCTAAGCACTGACACGTCCAAACATCTAAAATACTAAAACTTCATAAATATCCTGCCATGGAAGTTATATCATTAATCTTTAATTATTGGAATAATTCAAATATATTTTTGATGAGTAATGAACTATAATGGCTAAAAAACAAAATTTTTTTTTGACGGGGAAATTTTTCCGTTATGACTATTCAACGATACCAACACTTCTAAAAAAAAGTGCCGCCAATTTGGTCCAATTAAGATAGAGACGGTAGTAAGTACTATTTTGAACATGTTGAAACTCAAATTGACCTGTTATGGTATTAAGACGGATTATAGTGGAAAATCCTCTTTGGCCTAATCCCTTACCAATAATAGTCTGTTTCGACAACCCCTCCAAACATTTGATGTCTCAGTGGCAAAACACAAAGTTGGGGATCACCCCGAAAAAAATCCTGTTGTTACAGGGTTTAATAAGGACCCATGGCTAAGATTAGCGGAACTTTAGCGGATGCAGTATGACTTACATTTAAACTTTTCCAACTACTAAATATTGCATTTGATCTCCAATCCTGATTCCTACTCCTTTATAGCTATTAGTAAGGGCTGTTTAAGAAGATAATCTTAAATGTGTTTGTTTAGTTTACAAGATATACCATGTGCAAGTAGATTACAATACACATTCCGTTCTACCCTTAAGTTCCCTTAAATCTAAGGTCAATATGGCTTATATACCTATCTTATAGGTATTAGGAGATTTATATGTGTACATTTAGTTTATTTCACAGCTTTATATATAAATAAAGTATCCATACACATTTGTACGTACGGTTTCAGTCAATTGAATTTAAATTTATGTTTATACAGAAAATTTTTTACTGAAATTTAATGAAGATGGTTATTAATATCTATATAAAAAAGTACTTATTAAATAAATGATAACACAAATATTTATTACATGTAAACATCACGAGCATTGACATGGTTGGGGGGGGGGGTATTAAGGGCATAATAAAAAATTAAAGCTGATAATTTTTATTTTTCTTGTAATAACCAATAATCCTAACAAAGTTTAACGTTATTTTTTCCATCCAATTTTGAAAGATAATTTTCAAGCTTTAAATCAAATTATGGTTGCTAATTTCTGACTTTAGGGGAAAAAACCTGAAAAAAAATTCTTTCTGCATATATATTTATGTAAGAGACTTTCTTTTACATTATAAGAACAATTAAAACTCATAAGAATATTTTGCAATAGACCAGGAGCCAGTTACCCTTAAGAGAACAAATGTAACGGAAACCCGTTATGCAACAAAACAAAAACAGGCCCTTTCTAGCCATGAAAAGACGAACCTAATATGAATTCAAAATTTAAGACACATTTTAGGCAAAGTCAACATTGGGGAGCAATGTATTCTTAACCGACCCCAGGGGTGCTCTGTAGTGGTCAAACACAGGCTTTTATTAAAAAGCATTTTTTTTTCAAAACATTTCTTCTTAAAGCCACCATCATTTTACAAACATCCTCGAGATATGAAATTCCATGCGAATGAATTATAATTATAGAAATTGAATTCAATCCTCAAAAGGGCTAAAGAAAAGGAGGGTTTAAAAATTGGCAGTGTAGCACACAGGAAAACATTAAGTTGTTAGCATAATTTGGATCTTGTACAAACATTGCAATGTCAATATTTTAACAACTATAAGAGAAACTCCGTGTTGACATTGACAATAGAATGTGTTTGTCCGTGGAACTGACCAGCCTAATTAGTTAACACTGACCCCCTGCCATTGTGAAGGGGAGGGACAGGGTTTCCAAACAAAACAAAAACAGTCCCAATAGAAATGACGTAACTCATGAGGTCCTATGATACCTTGACTCCCTCTGTTTGGACATTTGTGTAATCACATTTTATATTTCAAGTGTGTGTGGTTTAATCTTGAAATTTTTTGAAACTCACCGTCTCCTTCAGGGGGACAGGACTATTGAATTACTAGTTAAAATATTATTAATTTTGATTAATACGTGGAAAATTTCTTGATACCTATATTCTTTGGCCTGTACGGTATAATATGACACATTTTAAAAAACTCTGAAGATACCATACATAGTTACATCTTGAGATAAAATTGACATCTCATGAAGTGACATGCCAAAAATTTTTCATGAGCCTTTTCCAATTAAACAAGAGGCCCATGGGCCACATCGCTCACCTGAGTACTGTAGCTTAGAAAAAGAGAAATTGGTTTATTACTGAAAAGTTAAAATCCAAAAGTAATCCATGATCAATCATGGATTTGCTATTCTTCAAAGAATTTTCCCATATATTTCTATGTAAAACTTTGGTCGGCCATTTTGGCCCCGCCCTACCCCCTGGGGTCATGATTTGAACAAATTTGAATCTACACTACCTGAAGATGCTTCCATATAAATATGATGAATAATGGCTTTGTCATTCTTGAGAAGAAGATTTTTAAAGAATTTTCCCATTAATTTCTATGTAAAACTTTGGTCGGCCATTTTGGCCCCGCCCTACCCCCGGGGGTCATGATTTGAACAAACTTGAATCTTCACTACCTGAGGATGCTTCCATATAAATTTGATGAATTATGGCTCTGTCATTCTTGAGAAGAAGATTTTTAAAGAATTTTCCAATATATTTCTATGTAAAACTTTGGTCGGCCATTTTGGCCCCGCCCTACCCCCGGGGGTCATGATTTGAACAAACTTGAATCTACACTACCTGAGGATGTTACCCCATAAGTTTTATTTTTCCTGGCACAGTGGTTCTTGAGAAGAAGATTTTTAAAACATGCCACCAAATTTTCATTAATTCCCAATTATCTCCCCTTGAATGAGGGCGTGGCCCTTCATTTGAACAAACTTGAATCCCCTTCACCCAAGGATGCTTTGTGGCAAGTTTGGTTGAAATTGGCCCAGTGGTTCTTGAGAAGAAGTCGAAAATGTGAAAAGTTTACAGACAGACAGACAGACAGACGGACACACAGACGGACAGACGGACGCCGGACAAAATGTGATCAGAAAAGCTCACTTGAGCCTTCAGCTCAGGTGAGCTAAAAAAAAGTTATTTTCCAAATTTTAGCCCTGTTCTTCAAGTAAAACACTTGAAATATGAAAGACCTAGTTCTAACTGTTGTTATAGGTTTTATAAAGTTGGTCAAACTTTTAGGTCAAAGTAAAAAAATATATACCATCTGAAGGGTATCATCACAATGACACATTTGTGAAGTATGAAAGCCCTAGCTTTAATTGTTCAAAAGTTAATGGCCAATGTTAAAGTGTGGTATTTTTTGTAAAAGTAAGACAATCCAACTCAAAGGTCAAGGACAGGGGGTCAAATTTGGTGGTACCCAAAGAAAGGTCTTGTCACAAGGAATACACCTGTGAAATATGAAAGCCATAGCCCCATCCACTCAATAGTTATGGGCTAGGTTAAAACTGACAACAGACAGACAGACAAAAAGACAGACAGGACAAAAACAATATACCCCCAGGATCTTTTTTGGGGGATGAAAAGATGTTAAGAATAGATGCAATGGATAATGAAAAACAACTGACCTAAAAACCTGATTTCTGACCTTTTGTAGTTTTTAAACAACCAGAATGGGCTAATTAGAAATGTGGTGCCAATAAGATTAACGTTCATTGCATCTCCTATAATTAATACCTAATGCAAACATCACTTACTGTCACAAGCAATTAAGTGTTCTGATCTACATTATTTAGCAGTGTTATTCAACCTAGTTAATTCTATAAATCAGACTTTTTGAAATTCTTTGCATGCATGCCTTCAAATTAATATATCATAATGCTCAGAATATCTAAACATTTTCTAAAAGTGAGACCCCCCCCCACCCAAAGAGAAAACTTCTTTAATAAATAATCTTTACCACTATGCAATGCTCTCAGTGCGTGATGTATGAGTATAATATAGAAATATGCTCCAAACAAATCATATCAAACAGACACACAGACAGACAGCGGTTTGAAAAACATCACTATTTTGGGTGCCTATAGAATGGGTCCCTTAATAAAACGCATATTGAACTCTGTATGCACTACTTGTAAACCAGAAAATTTTAAACAAATTGATCACTAGTCTAACATAACTTTCACCTAGCAGAAGAAAAAAACTCCCTGCAAGAAACCCATATAAATCAAAATTTATCACCCCGGTCAAAAACTTTGTCACAAATTAGAACAGTAAAGAGGAGGGCGATACATTAAAACTTTTCACCACAACATGTACATCATTAAATAGCTGCCATAAAAGGCCACTGAATGGAAAACTCCGAACCCCTCATTTTTCTTGCCACAGATGTTACAAATGGGGAAATGAGTGGCAAACCAGGGCCCGGGTTATACCGATGCTGCATACAGTTAAAGCCCTTCGCAGCAATTAAATTTCTGGAGTATGAAATTGTCTTAGGTTGAGAGTTCTCAAGTGGAAGAAGGGAATAGGAACATATTCTAATGAATTATCGCATGTCAATAAGGTGTGTGGAGGTATGGAAATAAGGTGTGAGCATGGCGAGCCTATGTAACGATATCGTACATGTACGTCAGTCGTTCTCAATATATTGTAACCTTAGAACTTTTCTTACCTTGTTTTTTTTTAAAGGGAATTAAGATTTTAAAAAAAAGAAAATTTTTTTTTATGAGTTTCACTTAAATCTATGAAATCTAATGAAGATGACAATTATAGAATGACTTGATCCTCCCACAATGGTAAATCTTGCTAATTGATTATTGTAGATGTAGATGTATAAATATACCGACACACATTTTTTAAAATTTATTTGTTTAACATACTTTTAATTTGAGAATTATGACAAAACAGATAATTTCAGAATTAACATTTCCCACCCACTCAATAGGTTTATAATCCTATTAATTGTTTTGATACGTAAAAAAAATCCTCAATGTCTATCACTTCAATTTTTTTTAACCTTTGATAAGCTCTCTTAAACACAACTGAGCTTGCATTAGAAGAAAAAAAATAAATGGTGAGAAAAGAAATAAAAAATAGTGTAAGCTTAAATATTTGACAATTTTTTCTCTTTTTTTTTTTTTTTGGTTTTTGTTTTGAATTTTTAACTGTGAACACTTACACCGCAAGGACGGTTATTTTTTGTTTCAAAATGCACGCATTATAACACAATCATGTACTAGTCTGGGTCTATAATGCGCATCATGACCAAACACTCCCCAACCTTATCAAGAAGCTGTCAGCAGCCACGATAAATAATTCCGTTCACAATGTCAACATTTTGTCACTGTCTTTAAGAAGGCTCACAAGTTACAGGGATTAAGCGGGGAATCATTAGGCGGGCTGTCTTGGGGACTTTATAGGGTCTGATTTACAAAAGGGAATAAACATCCATCACAGAATAATAAATCCCCCTGATGCACAGCAGCTATACTCCGAGGATCACCGTCCATCACCCGAGGCAAGGATGCGGTTCTTAAAGTCGAGGCTTAAAGCTTCTCATTGCTCAGCGTTATATAGAAACAAAAACATCTTCCATACTTGATTGGGCAGAAATAAATATATCCTGTTCAAGTAGATTCATCTTAAAACATTTTCCTGGGTATCAATAATTATTTTTTTTACTTTGGTGGGTCCTTAAAATGCCCTTTAGATGCAATGAGCCATTAGTATTTCATAGTTTGAATGAAGGCTAATTTCACTTACTCCATAATAGCCTCAGATCACATTAGGTCAAGTTTGTAAGAGACCACTTATTCGCCTCTGTCAACAACCATTTTTAAGTCTTTGTACACAAAATAATGAAAATGTGGGTTAATAAAAAATTTTTAATGGGCATGCCAAGTTTTTTCATTTCTTGAGAAGGGGGAAAAATTGGCCGAGGAATTAGGTTTCTTATGACACATTGCAATATCAAGAAGGATAACTCTTATTTGTCGCTTCACGGTCTTCCATCTCAGCTTGTAAAGGCCAAGAGAGATAACTCTGTATTCTGATGGAAAAAAAAAGAAACTGATATTGACTTACAAGATATTCAGCTGCATCTGCCGTCTGATCAAGGCATTTCTTTTGTTGACCAACAAAAACCATTCCTGCATTAGTTTTTCCTCCATTCGCTTGTACTTTGCTGCAATTTTTTTGTATATTTTTAGAAAAGAAAGTTGTTCATACATGTTTCAACAACAGTTTTAATGTCTGACAAATGCTCTTTTTAATAGTGTCGCAATAAATCAAAAAAAAAAATTATTCATTTTGAGTAGAAGTATAGATCTTTTAGTTTTAGCATTATTTATTATTATTGGGAAATGGCTCTTTTTTAATGTCAATTTTCAAAAACATTCATTCGTGACAGGATGGTTAATCAAGAGATTTTGCACATATTTCAGCACCTTAAAATTACAGCGAGTAACTTTACTTCCAGAGAGGTGCTTTTCCAAAATATCACACTACTTAATTCCTAAGGCATATTAAGGAATCTCAGTGGTCTTACATTTTCCCATGACCCTCCTCAGTTTGGCCTCCAGCTCCCCCGCCTGTTTGTCTATCTGTGTCTGCTCTCTCTCCAAAGCATCCATTTCATTGTGAACATACTGATTGGTGTCCTGCAGATGCTGCAACATAACAAAAAAAATAAATTTGAAGAATTTCTAAGTTAAAAGGTAACATTTAATAATTTTACATTATTTTTTTCACTATATTTACCTCATCCTTTTTCTTCTCCATATGGTCTTCAAATTCCAACGAATCTGGTGTAGAGCTGAAATCACCTGCAAATAAATTATAATCTGATGACTACTGATCCCATCCCCCCCCCCTTCCATCCCCCGGGGGTTAGTGACTGAATGCTACTCACCCTCTTCTCTCGACCCGTCACTGCTCCCTGTCAGGGAAAACTCAGACGAGGGACTCTGGACCACCCTGTTTTCTACTGCCTCCTCACTCTGTAAAAACATTACAAAGTTCTCAGTAATATGTGTTTTCTCAATCACTAAACACTAAATATGAAAGATAATGATTTTACAAAAGAGGGTTCCACTATATTTCTATCCTTTGTGCATACAAGTCTAATTGTATATTTCACAATTTGAGAGTGAGTAAGAGATACAAATGTATCTAGGTTTGACTATAAATTCCTGACTTTGATAAATACATGTTTGAGAGTGAGTAAGAGATACAAATGTATCTAGGTTTGACTATAAATTCCTGACTTTGATAAATACATGTACTGTGTTTAGGATAAATTGGTTTGACTGTAGATTACTAACCTTGATATACCGTAAGTTTCAACATAGAATTGTAACTTTCAATGATGCAGAGTTTGAGATCGATTTAACTATAAATTTTAACTTTGGATAATGCAGAAGTTGAGGAACATTTGTCAACAGAATTATAACTTTGAATGATGCAGAGTTTGAGATATGTTTGACTACACATTTGTAACTTAGGTAGATGCCAAGTTTGAAATGTTTGACTATAAATTTGTAACTTTGGTGGATGCCAAGTTTGAGATATGTTTGACTATAGATTTGTAACTTAGGATGATCGATGCTTAGCTGAGATATATTTCAAAACAGATTTGTAACTTTTAATACTGTCAAGTTTGAGATAGGTTTACTTTGTTTATACCTTTCTTACTTTGGTGGACCGTTTGAGCCTTGGGAAAGTATCCAACTTTGTAACAGGAATAAATAAAAAATCATAACAACACAACAGACTTTATAACAATCATTAAAGAAATTCTTTTATCATGTTTATCATTTAATAATTTTGTTCATTAATTGTCTGAGCTACTATGGTAAAATTAAAGTTAACAATACAGTTAGCTGAGTTTCCTAAGTTACGTGATCTGTTTAGTTCTCAATGCACATCAGTTTACCATGTTGACGTCACAATACAAGTGGCATAACATTTCCGGTATGAATTAGGTCCCGCCTCCTTATTATGATGCATCAACATAGCTGTGTTATGAATATTTATGAGTTTATTTGGAACACAATGGAACTTTTCATATGATAAAGTTGGTGGACACTGTCTGAGATAACTTGGGATGACTTGAGTGTAAATTAACTTAGGTTGCCTTGAGTGTAGATTTCCTTCTTTGGTGAACAGTTTGAGATAACTTGGGTTGACTCATCGTCTCAAGCCACGGTCCGGAGTCTGCATATATAGCTCTCTCCTACCCGTGGCTGCTTGAGCACAAAAAGTGTCGTAATCTTGAATATTTACACCTTTCTATTGTGACGTCATATTCAGTCAGTGGCAAGTTTTGTTTCCATCGCAATCGAAATCAACAACTGACGTCAACAGTATACAAGAAATATTTTCTATACTGCGATTGGATATTGAAAGGTCGTGATAAAGTTCATCATCCGACTATGCTTTACTCGCATTGGTCAATATTTTAATGAGCTACGAAGAATTCTCTCCTCGTTCAACCACGGCCAGATGGGAGAGGAGCGTACATTTTGGCCGTGGTTTGCGACAATGGGGTTGACTTGAGTGTAGATTTCTTACCTTGGTAGAAGATGACAATGAGGAAGTCAGGTCGGGTTGTTTGAGACTAAATCTCTTCAGTTTTATCTCTGGCTTCTTTGTTTCTCCATTACTTAGGGATAGAGATTCTATAAAAATAAGGAAAAAATGTAACATAAATTGATAGCCTTAATAAATCTGCAATCAATGAAATTCGGAATTTGTCTTATTTCTCTACAGCTATATACTGGGTAGGAATTCATAAAATTACTATATACCAAATATTACTTGCAACTCCTTTTATGTAGGATTCCTTGGTTTTGAATCTGTCTGCGATTACTTATTTTCATGACCAAGAAAACATTTTACCTAAATAAATACCTAAGTTAATAATTGGTTTGCAATGAAAAATATTTTTAAAATGAAGGTCATGATATTTGCATTTATTTCTCACTTGCAAATAAAATGTTGTTGACAGTAATTTGCCGATTTGTTCATTAATTGACAACATTGAGGTAATATTCTATATTTTCATGTAAACTCTTTTTCTTATTGATAATTTAACATTTAAATTTGTAATTTCCTTGATTTTGAGTTTCATGTAAGTACTAAAAGCATTTCAACTAAAAAAGTAGCTTGTACTTGTGTGTGCATTTATACAATGATTCCTTATCCACATTTTAATCTGGTAACAAAGAAAGCCATTGGTTTGAGTTAGGCACTAATCTTTAACAATAATGCACTTGAAATATTTAATATATTCTGATCATAAATCTAATTGTTTTACTTAAAATATTCATTTTAAAATAATATATTAATATTTAAAACACCACCACAACTTGTTAGTATTACTCAGTATATTGCATGTATTAAATATTTTAAAATATTTATATGAACCTAAAAAGTATTCATTAACCCATCTTCGGAAACCCACAGTCGATCTTGGTTCTCTTACTGTGGGTTTCCGACGAATTCATTAACCTCCAACCAAATGTTTATGAAGATACCGTACATCCTGTGCTTTAGGAGATATAAGAATATCAACAAATAATAACTAGGGATGACAACTGCACTCTGAAAGCTTAGTTGAATAATGAGGGACTTAACTTGAATGATAGTAAAGGTGTCATTAAAATAATTCTTCCCATGACAGTTTAATTTTATGGCCCTTTCACACTGCTTGATTTTGATGAAAAATCTCAGAGGATCAAGTCTAAGCTTCATCACTAAAATGTCAACAGCTGATTAAAAACACAGGTAATCAGAGATTACAGAGCTCACCTCAACGAATGTTGTCTTTAAGTAAGGCAAAGTCACACAATTAACCAACAAAAAGTATACATTCCAAAAATGAAAATATTTTTAAAAGCAATTTTGATCTGATACTTTGAAATAGACCTACATAAAAAATTTAAACTACTTCTTCTTCATGAAAATGTAATGAAAATCCAGCATCTGAAGCAAATTTGAGAGTTTTCATCTCTTGATGCAGCATTTGTGCAAGTTTGGTTTATACAATGTTATATAAGCCTTATAGTTTTTGGTAATAGACCTGCAACCATAACTTTTACCTTGTCTATTATCTGAAAAATGTAAGTCCAATTCAGCATCCGAAGAAAGTCCATTAGTGTGCATCCTTAGATGTATCATCCATGCAAGTTTGCTCATTATAGGGCTCATAGTTTATTGGAAATGAAACATGCATCAAAACTAACATTTTCACTCATTCACAAAAAGTAGGTCAGATTCAGCATCCGAAGCAAGCCTGGAAGTATGCATCCTTAGATGTATCATCTATGCAAGACTGGTCATTAAAGAACTCATAGTTCCTTGGAAATGAAACCTGCACCAAAAACTTTTAACTATTCACTCAACCGGAAAATGTAGGTCAGATTCAGCATCCGAAGCAAGCCTGGTAGTGTGCATCCTTAGATGTATCATCCATGCAAGTTTGGTCAACATAGGGCTTACAGTTACTTGCAAATGAAACCTGCACCAAAAACATTAACCTGTTCGCTCAACTGGAAAATGTAGGTCAGATTCAGCATCCGAAGCAAGCCCGGTAGTGTGCATCCTTAGATGTATCATCCATGCAAGTTTGGTCAACATAGGGCTTATAGTTACTTGCAAATGAAACCTGCACCAAAAACATTAACCTGTTTGCTAAACTGGAAAATGTAGGTCAGATTCAGCATCCGAAGCAAGCCCGGTAGTATGCATCCTTAGATGTATCATCCATGCAAGTTTGGTCAACACAGGGCTTATAGTTACTTTGAAATGAAACCTGCACCAAAAACTTTAACCTGTTCACTCAACCGGAAAATGTAGGTCAGATTCAGCATCCGAAGCAAGCCCGGTAGTATGCATCCTTAGATGTATCATCCATGCAAGTTTGGTCAACATAGGGCTTATAGTTACTTGGAAATGAAACCTGCACCAAAAACTTTAACCTGTTCACTCAACCGGAAAATGTAGGTCAGATTCAGCATCCGAAGCAAGCCCGGTAGTATGCATCCTTAGATGTATCATCCATGCAAGTTTGGTCAACATAGGGCTTATAGTTACTTGCAAATGAAACCTACACCAAAAACTTTAACCTGTTCACTCAACCGGAAAATGTAGGTCAGATTCAGCATCCGAAGCAAGCCCGGTAGTATGCATCCTTAGATGTATCATCCATGCAAGTTTGGTCAACATAGGGCTTACAGTTACTTGGAAATGAAACCTGCACCAAAAACTTTAACCTGTTCACTCAACCGGAAAATGTAGGTCAGATTCAGCATCCGAAACAAGCCCGGTAGTATGCATCCTTAGATGTATCATCCATGCAAGTTTGGTCAACATAGGGCTTATAGTTACTTGGAAATGAAACCCACACCAAAAACTGCACCAAAAATGTTAACCTGCTCCAAAAACATTAACCTGGTCATTCCTTTGCTGAAATTGCAGCATCTGAAACTTTGTCTGGTACAATAAAACACACTAAAACCATCTTCCATGCATGTCTAATCAGTATAGGACACAGAAGTAATTAAAAAGAAAACTGCTCCAAAAAACTTAACCTTAACCTGGGACGCCGACGCCGACACCGACACCGACGCCGAGGGTATCACATAAGCTCCCCCCAACTTCGTTGAGGTGAGCTAAAAATGCCTCTCAACCTTTATGAACTTGAATTTAAAAGAACTATTTATTAAGTAGCACATTTTGAATGATTAAAAAATAGAAATGATTGGTACAACTGAGCCTCACCATCAAGTACATGTATTTGGATACTCAGTTGTGCTCCCCTTACAATAACTCCATACTATACATTACATATTGTTTTAACAGTCACCGATGTTCCATTTTATTAACTTTTTCCCTGACAACTTACACACAGCTTGACAAAGGCCCATGGGCTTAAACAGTAACCCAAGTATTATTACCCCTAGATAGTTTGTCAGGTTGTAACTACATTAGTTACATCTGGAACTACAACTCTGGCTCATGTGACAAGAATATTTTACAGTTTGCTTCAGACTTACAACTTACAAAAAGTGAAAGTAGATTGTAGTGCTATGATAGTGACAGACTACTTTGAGGAATAAATCTTGTTATCCCGTCGCCCATGTGGTGCAGTGGCTAGAGCGTCTGCCCTAGAGTCGTGAAACTTGTAAGGAGTTGAACTTACGTTGCAAGTTTGAATCCCAAATTAGTTATGCCTAAGATTAAAGTTTTTGCTGACACACAGATTAACAGAGAGATGGAAAGACCATAAACAATATGTCTTTGAATCTTAAATTCTGGGGACCTAAAAACACAAATGAATTAGTTCACATAGAATTAAAATTTCATGCAAATGAGGTGCAAATGCATGGCACAAGTAAAAAAAAGCTGAGATTAGAATTAGTACAACTGTAGTAGTACAAAGAAATGCCACGTACAATGTACATTTCAAAGCTAAGCAGTACACCACAAATAAGCAGTTGTGACGTTATAGTCACAGAATTACATACCAGTCTTAATGACAAAAAGACCAGGGGTGCGAACTATCCGTCGCATTCGTAGTGTCGATTTACAAGCTGCTGGATGAAACAGATCAAACATATCGAAACATCAAAATGAAAGCAAGACAGTCATGCGAAAATGAGGGAAGAAAAAAAATGAATTAAATAATTATTATAATGCAAGACTGGATTAAGGCACTCCGCATGATGTCTTCATGCCTCTCATAACAATATTTGAATGAAAACAGGGTACTTTTTGATTCTAAATAAAAGTATGACAAACAGAATTGGGATAAATCATGTCACTGATGAAAGATAATGTTACAAAAATTGAATTTAAAATTCAATTTAATGAAGCAAAAGAATTTTACTGGCCAGCCAAGAAAGCTAAAGTAGCAATTTTTATTACAATGCATTAAAACATCAATGGAAACCTTTGAGCAGACTGACACAGATTTGATGTTTATACCTTCTTCTGTTGTTAGATCTTTGCTGGGCCTCTTGGGCAGGTTGACCTCTGGTTGACCTATTCCAGCTCGAGCTTCATCAATAAGCTGCCGGGCTCGCTCTTTTAACCTCTTTTGTTTGTCATCAGTTTCCTTTAAAAAAGATCAAGAAGGATACAATTTTATATGTCCATACATACACCTATTACATGAATTTTGTTAAAAATCAACCTTCCTATCATAAAATACACACAGACCTACAATTAGAGTCATTTTTAAAAACATTTTTACTTTCAGATTCAGTTTTTCCTGTATGTATACCTCAGACACCTCTTTTTCTACCTCCTTAGCAGGAGAGCCTGGAGTTTCTCCTATGCCAGCCTCTTTTCTGGCTTGTTCCAACAAGAACTTGGCTCGTTCCTTTAGCTCCTCTTGTCGAGACTTTCTGTCGTCTTCCTGTAATTACAAATCATGTCATAAAGATTTACTCATATACATGTTCTTCCAATAGATCTGATTATTAATTACTGTATATCTCAATCTAATACAAAATATGTTTTCCATGAATTTTATAAACATATTACCTTTGGCTTTAATATGGAGTCTAAATCACTAATATTTATTCTTTTACTGAAATCATACAAAAATTATGATTATTAGACACACAGTGTATACTGAAATACTGTAGAAGTACTTTTTTCCGCGTGGTATTAATTTACGCTATGTACGCCGTCACAAATATTCCGCGGAAATTTGTCGAAGCGAACTTAATATAAAGTAAGGCATTTAGTGACAATCTAAGAAATCCGCGTAGTTTTCTACTCGCGGATTAAACAGAAATTGAGATTCTGCGGAATTATGACCCCGTGGAAAAAAGTGAGTCTACAGTAACATAATGGGTATGGAAGGCTTTAAGAAATGAATAAAACAAATATTTGAAAGCTCTGTTTTGTGTGCATAGGCATGTCCATTGTGGACCAACTAACAGGAAGTATATACTTGATGTACTGATGACAACATAATGTTATTTTTACATCTAACCAACATTTATAATATAGTAATATTTAGTGAAGTCTAATAGAATCTACAATGAAGGAAGTATAGCAAAACATGATTATGACAAAGTGTCAGCGGTAAGCGATTTTGCTTCATTACAAGTGTAACTCGTTAAATCCATTAGCTTCACAATATGTTTAAAAACATATAAACATCACTTAACTATATGCATCAATTAATAAAAGTGAGTTCATTTTAAGCATGTTTTACTGAATAAATTTATTGTGAAAGAATATTTCTCAGTACTTACGCTCCAGCTGATTCCCTTTTAGGAGACACAGTGCTAGAGGGAGGACTGGACGGGGTGGAGGCCCGTGACGATTGTCCACTGCTGCCAGACACCGGGGTACCAGACCGGGGGGAGACAGGACTACCCAGTGACCCCTGACTGCTGAGGACCGGAGACCCCAGGTCACTTAGGGGGGTGGAGGCTTTACTTCCTGTCTGGGGGCGCCACACGTCCTCCTCCTCCACAACAGGACTGGTCACCTCCTCACATGGGGAATTCACAGAGTTATCTATCACAGTACTATCTTTGGCATTTTGGTTAGTGTCTAGAGTCTTTGTGGGACTGGATTCTTTACTTCTGCTTTTGCGTAACTCGACACTGGCACTTGTGCAGTCACTCGGAGTATTTTCTTTGCTGCGGGAATTAGTGGGACTATTTTCTTTGCTGTCCTGCTTGGCAGGACCATTATCTTTAGTGTTTTTCTTGTTTTTGTCTTTGACTCGACTCGTTCCATACATCTCCCTGGTGATTTCACTTTGAGTATTGGCATCTAGATCTCCTATCGTATACATACTCTCTCTTGTGTTTATACCTAAAATAAAATTACAAGTATTTAGTAATACAGCAAAATATTTGGCAACTATATTTTCAGTACAAGTTATTCATCAGACATGTTCAAGAAGCTATTTTGGGACTATGGTGTGTCCTAAGAACATCTTATAAAATAACTTAGTCTTAAGTCAGTTTCCTCAAAGCTTCCTAAATTTAGGCCCTCTTCATAAGCACCTCCAAATTTTAGAACACATTAAAATTAATTGTTTTAAGATCATCATAATTTTGTTGAGATGCATTTTTTAAAAGTCTTGTAAGTATAGTATGAGCTAATGATTTTCATATCAAATCATTTTTTTTAAAAACTGTTATCCATAAGCCTTTTTTATTTCAACATTACCTACCGGTATAAAGTTCACATTTGCAGACAATTATTAATAATATCTTTTTTTTTTCATCTTATCAAGAAGCACCTGGATTTCACACTTGAATATTTTTAGTTCCTTTTTTAATTCATAACGTTCAGTTGATAAATGTATGTATAGGGTTGACCTTTAAAAAAAACTTCTACAGTATAATTAACCACAATAGACTATTTTTGGAAAAATAATGAAGGACCATCCCCTCGACCTCCCTGATAGCATGATAGCCGAGGCAGATTTAACACCTAGTAGTACCTATCTGTTGGACCTCCAGTGTCTGTCCTGTGAAGTAAGCCCTCAGCTGGTGGAGGTACGTCATCACAGACAATTTATCTGGCACTGCCAATAGGACCATGTCAGACGGTTCTATCAGACGGGGGATACCACACGCGGCGGCGGCATCAAAGGCCTGAAAATACCACGTCATAACGATAATACACATCACGCAGGCACCGATTCATAACACGTTACTCATGCATTGGTTCATACTGATTGTATTTTAAAGGTCACTATTTTCAATTAATAACTAGATTGTATTTCCAAGTCATGTTTTTTGAAAGTTGTGAATTAGTTTGCCGTTAAATGAACAGTATGAGATTTTATTTTTAACTGACAATTTCTAATTCTGTTAATTAGACCGCACTTTAAAATTTTCAATGCATGTAAAATCCATTAGTGAATTAAGTAGCCTGGTACTCACAGTTTTGTTATTTCCTTTTATATCATGTGGAGCCAATGACTTAAAGTCTCTGATAAAAGAACAATATTCATGTCATATGAAAAGAGTGATGGTACTTTCTTTTTTAACTAATTAATAATAATCATAGCATTGAGATTTGAAAAAAATCTCAATCTGATAAGTAGAATTACATGTATCTTACACATCACATTTATTTTGCTATATGAATTAGCTTTTTTTAAAAGGAATAATCAAACTTACAACAAATCTGGCTTAAAATGATGAATAATGGCACAAAAAGCCATTCCATTTCTCCAGGACGTGGTCAAGTTTGTGACCTTGACCCCTTTATAACCTTGGGTGACCTCTTTGCACCACTCCAGAAGGCTTTTACTTGAATCTGTATTCCGTGAGGGTGACTCCATCTAAAACATTAAATGGTTTCTTTACAAGCATTCCATCATATATTGCTTTAATCTGAATTACAAAATATTAATAGAATGCTAATCCTACTTCTCAATGTCTCTACTTAGTGATAAAGGCTTTTTTTTTCAAAATAGAAAAAAACAGAAATGGATAAATATCTCTTTCACTTTTAGCAAGGTATAATTATGATTTAGGACAAGGATATAATGCCTGAAATGCTCAGTTGATATAGTATCTAACTTGGCAGAGAATTTGACTAGTGATACAAAAGTACACTTGAACTTCAGCATCTCAAACTCCGTTATCTTCTACATGTATACCATGGATATGTCAAAGTGATGTGGAAGTCCCAATTACTGTAAACCAACTTTTATTCGCGTGCGAGAAATTTTCGCGAGGTTCACGAGAGCTCCGTCATCGCGATTATTTCTCGCCGCGAACCGGTCCTAAAAGTCTATATGCCTCTAAACAACAGATCTAAAATAGGCTTGGTCGTGAAAATTAATCGTCGCGAACTAGTTTATCCACGGTAAATCGTGAAATTAAGTCGCCACAAATAAAAATTGGTTTACAGTATATATAATAATTCTTGAAGTATTGAATCCTCAAATATCTTGAAGTTTTTTCTCAGACCCATCATGGTTCGAGATAACTAAGTTTAAATGTATTAGTTTTGATTAACAGTCCAGCCAAATATTTTTCTAATTTAGTTACATAATCTGGTAATATTGACCACACTAGACCTGCTGGTGAAAGTCCTGCCTGATGAAGACAATTTAAAGGAGGAAGGAATGTAATGGTTTGGGCCCTGGATATTGGCCTGTGTAACTCCATGGGTAGAGCACCTGACTAGTGATGATGAGGTACCAGGTTCAATTCCCATTCCAGCCACACATTTTCTTCTTATCTATTACAGTTTTATCACTTCCTTGCTGGTAATCACCATGCAAAATGACTTTGAAAGGCATTCATAGATCCAATTTAATTTCACCCCCCTACCCCCTCCCCATCCCCCTCCCAACAGACCCTGCTGCCTTGTATTCTGTGTTACCTGGTTAGTATTCAGTGGTTCCAGTACCTTCCTCTCACTTTCAACATCACTACCATTATGCTGTGGGGACAATCTAGTGAAAAATCAGAAAATAATCATTAATCTCTCAATCTGAATGATATGCTTGAAAACAAATCTATATTGCAAAATGTCTCTGAAATGCATTAGCAATATTAAATAAATCTATTAAATATACAAGTATGTGGTTCATTTTTCATCAAGATAGGTTACAAGAGACCAACTAATTCACTGAAAATTGCTGTACAATTTATTGAAAAACCTATCTTTATGGAAACTACACATACATAGACTGATAACTGTGTAATTTCTTACTGTTTAGCGGGACTAGCATTGAGGGAGGAGTTGGCCGAGGTATCCAGCGACTCGGGGGGAGGAGTTATTGCCCTTTCCTTCCTCTGTTCCTCTGGAGAGGAGGGGGGCGTGCCTGTGTATAAAGGTCGCTTTGTGTTAGATATTTCACTTTTAGCCCTCACTGAGGGAGGGGGAGGGGCCCGCCTCTTTTTGACGGGGAGAGTATTAGTTTTCTTTTCAGGTTCTACAGAGCCGGCAGTTTCAAAGGGGTTATACGACTGACTAGTGGTTAGAGGAGTGGTAGAGTCATTAGTGGAGTTTTTCTCGTTAAAAGGGTTAGTGGCATCATCGTCTTCTTCTTCTTCATCGCTCTCATCGAAAGGATTCAGAGAAGCAGGCTTCTTTTCTATCAGAGGCACTGAAAAGCAGAGAAAGTTGCAAGAGTCAGACAGCTTGAAGAATTAAGAATAAAAATTAGGAAAAATTAATAAGATGAAGACTTCAGATTTTATAATGCTTTGAAAACAATAAATAACTGATTTGTTTGCACAAGAGGACAAAAATATAGAATAAGAGGAAAAGAAATATTCATGCCAAAATTCATCTATCAATTTGAGACAAAAAAATCTAAGCATTATTATGATATAAAAGTAAAAGAGTTTGTCACATTCTAACATTCTTAAGGATCATTCAAAAACAAAGGAAAAACATTCACTCAAAATAATGTTTACTTCAAAGTATTCATGAGCTGCAAGGTTTTTTTTTAATTTAACATGCATTTTAAAATCAAGGAGACAAAAAAAAATCACAATTCATAGCATCAAAAAAAAAAAAAAATGACAGAAGTTACAATGCAAATCAAATTTGCAAATCAAAATAATGTAGATAGAAATAAAGAGAAATAAAGCCAGGCACACGATACCACAGAAGTCATCACATTCCAGCTCAAGGTCATCTTCAAAGGGATTTCTAAACGGATTACCATCGTCTTGGTTACTGCTGAGCTTGGATATATCCGAGGCGAGCTCTGAGATTCCAGTGGAGAACTCTTTACTGGTTCCCTCCTCCTCTTCTTCCTCCAGATCGTCCATGACGGCGATGTCAGTCCTCCCGATACTCATCAGACTGGCCACCGACTGCATGTCCTCATCCCTGTGTGAAGAATCATATAGGGTTATATAGGGGAAGGAGGAAAATGTTTATAAGTGTCTACTGGAACACACTAAGCTGCTTATATTTATAAACAAACAAAAAAGGTTTACAAGTTCAATGAATATGTAACAAGTTCCTAAATTTTGCTATCATATTTTCTTATTTATATCACGGGGATAGCAGTCACTTTTTTAAAAACAAAATTACACAGTAAAATATGATAAGGTCTATACAGAGGTACCGTAGAACTTCCTTAAGCAGAGGGAATGGGGGGTTCCATGAATGAGTTACATGACCTGATGAGGGGGTGGGGTTGGGTGTATGACTTACGTGGCCTTTCCTTCTCTCAGGAACAGACAGGACAGTGTAAACTGTAATGTAGCGCTGACAATCTTCTTTGTCGTAGGTTTCAGGGTCAGTTTCATCGTGTGCTGGGTCGGGACGGAGGAGGCAAACTCCTTCATGTTGATTGGTCCAGTGGCCAGAATCTTCCTCCTCCCGGCACGGGATTGCTGTTAAATAAAAATACATAGGTAATCAGAGATTACAGAGCTCACCTTAACAAATGTTTGTCTTTAAGTAAGGCAAAGTCCCACATCAAACTAATAATTAAGAAATGAATTTCATTTTTGAAGTTTTATGAGGACATAAACTACCACACTTCATGCTGGCATATTTCATGAAGCGCATTAGCGCTTCATGATAAATATGCCGGCAAAAAATAACTTTTTTGGTTTCAAATTCTATCCTGTCTGACATTTTTTTTTTAGAAATCTTACTGTACTGCACTTCAAATTCCTTTGGTTGTTAAAGGAAAATACAAAATTGTTTACTCAAAAAAATTTCAATTAGTATATATATTCATAACATGAAGTGATCTAAATAATTTCTGCATTTCAGGCAGTTGTTGAAGGTACGTAAACATGTACATATTTAAATCCCCCTCTAACCAGGAAGTATAAACACCTGACAGGTAGATAACACAGGTATGTCACGTGATCAGTGTGTATATATAGACTGCACTTGGAGATCGATCAAGGACGGCCGCCATTACTCGAGTCAGGTAGGAAACTCTAGTAGTATTTCTATGCATAACAGTTGAGAGTCATTGAAAATTCAGTAGTACAGGCTTAAACTATGGGAATAAGATTTCATTCCCAAAAAATTCAATGAACCTTGTAAATGTAATATGATGATTTGTTTATTTACATGTTGATATATTTGCCAATGGCCTAAACAGAAATGTTTGTTATACTTTAGAATTTGTTCCTATACAAATCTATAGGAAACAAGAGGCCCATGGGCATTATAGGTCACCTGAGCATCATGCAACAACTTTCAAATGATTGAATTTGGTTCATGTTTTTAGCTAGATGCTATGGCATTCACAATTTTGAAAGAGGCACCATTGCTAATCATAACTATACACTTAGCAAATGTTTAGTTTGGTAAGGGAACAAAAATGCATGTCAACTAATCAGTAATATTCAACAATAATCGTGAGTGCCCCTGCCACAAATGAACCCCTGACCCTAGGTCTACACATTGCACAATTTTTGAAATGCACACTTGCTTATCAAAAATGTTTGATTAATACCAAGGAGCAGATTTCAAACAATTCATTTTTAGTATATAAGTAGAGCCTCCCCCCCCCTTTGGTATCCCTGACCCAGGGGCCTTGAAATTCACAATTCTGGAAGAAAAGCCCTTGCACATCATAACCATATAAATAGTTCATCTGCTTATTACCCAGGAGTAGAGAAAAAGATTTTTATAGATGTTATGTATTTTCACTATATAATCATTATAGAACCACACCCTAACACCATAACCCCTGACCCTGGGGTCATAAAATTCACAATTTTGGTAGAAGCATAGCATGCTCATCATAACTATGTCCTTAATTAGTTTATTTAATACCCAGAAGCAGAGAAGAAGCTTTTCAAAGAATAAATGCATTTTCACTATATAATCAATAGAGCCCCGCCTTAACACCAGAACCCCTGACCCTGGGGTCATAAAATTCACAATTTTGACAGAAGCACTCTTGCTCATCATAACTATGAACTTAGTTAGTTTATTTAATACCTAGAAGCAGATTTTCAAAGATTTAATGCATTTTCACTACATAATCAATAGAGCCCACCTCAGGTGATCAGAGTACATATAACACCAGAATTCCTGACCCAGGGGCCATAAAATTTACACTTTTTGTAGAGACACTCTCGCTTATCATAACTATGTACTTAATTAGTTTATTTAATACTCAGGAACAGAGAAGAAGATTTTCAAAGAAATAATGCATTTTCACTATACATTCAATAGAGCCCCGCCTTAACATCAGAACCCCTGACCCTGGGGCCATGAATTTCACAATTTTGGTAGAGGCACTCTTGCTGATCATAACTATGAACTTAATTAGTTTATTTAATACCCAGGAGCAGAGAAGCATACCCAGGAGCAGAGAAGAAGATTTTCAAAGAATTAATGCATTTTCACTATATAATCAATAGAGCCCCACCCTAACACCAGAACCCCTGACCCTGAGGCCATGAATTTCACAATTTTGGTAGAGGACTCAATGCTAATTACAATCATACCAGCAGTTTGACTGCTTGATGTCCAGGAGTAAAAAAGAAGATTTTTAAAGATTGCACTAATTTTAATGGTTTTTGCCCCATCCCCCAGGCCCCAGGGGGGCAGGCAAACAGTCTGGTTCTTAGGTCTGACAAAACAAATGCTGCCCTCAAACTCAGTCAATAAATGTATATTATTATAATCATTAAAGTTAAATTTTTTATGTTTCAGTCACAAAATCTAATGATGGACCCCCATAGCAGTGCCCAGGATGTGATACGATGTGACCTGTGTGAGACTGCTGTGGTACAGATGCACTGTGATACGTGTCTTGTCAACCTGTGTAAGGCCTGTGTGGGAGAACACATCTCAACAGATGAATCCAAGGATCACAAAGTTGTTAAGTTTAAGGCCAGGAAATCCACTCCCCTCTACCCTGGTTGTAAATTCCATGATCAAGAACAATGTAAAATGTACTGTAATCAATGTGACATTCCTGTCTGCCATAAGTGCATTGCATCTGATCAACATCTAGGTCATAAGGTATCAGAAATCTTAAAAGTTGTGGATGAAAGAAAGAATAAATTCATGAAAGAACAATCTGAATTAAATGAGACAATTTATCCCATCTATCAAGACATTGCCTCTGATGTACAAAACAGAATGAGTAAGTTAGAAAAGGAATATGGGGATCTATCAACAGCCATAACGAAACATGGAGAGGACTTGCACAGAGAAATTGACAAACTTGTCAAGAAACTTAAAGCTGAAGTTGATGAGATGAAAAACACACAGTTACAAACTCTACAGAAACATTTGGATGAAATAAACAAGAACATTTCTGATATCAAGAATGAAATTGATTCGATGGAAATTGCTAAAGACACCAATGACTTGTCAAAACTGTTTAGTGTAACATTAAAAGTACACACATACAGAAATCTTCCAAACAAAATTATACCATCTTTACCTAAATTTATTCCAGGAAAGATACATGGAGATGAACTTGGTAAAATGTTTGGAGCATTATCCTCAAGTTCTTTAACATCTGATAAACATGGCTACAGCATGAAGACAACACAGAAATCACCAGAAGCTGGATCCTCTCCTCCAGTCAAACAGCTGCTTGATGAACCAGAGACTGTCACCACCATAGACACTGGGTATGATACACTTTACAATATGGCCTGTCTGAGTGATGAAGAAATCTGGACAAGTAGAAATGACAGCACAGTGAAACTCTACAGCATCAATCAGGGATCACTACTCAAGTCAATCACAACCAAGTCAGGGAAAAACCCATCTAGCATAGCAGTGACAAAAGGTGGAGATCTGGTTTATACTGATTATCATGATAGAACTGTGAACATTGTGAAGAATGAGAAGATAGAGGAGGTGATCAGACTACAGAACTGGAGACCTAGAGGTGTCTGTAGTACCTCCTCTGGTGACCTCCTGGTTATCATGGAAAGTGATGATAACAAACAAACAAAACTTGTCCGTTACTCTGGCTTCACAGAAAAACAAACCATTCAGTTTGATGATAAAGGTAAACCTCTCTATTTATCTGCTACTTATTTTAGCAGATTCTTTACAGAGAACAGGAACCAGGATATCTGTGTGTCTGATGAGAGAACTAAAGCAATAGTGGTGGTCAATCAGGCCGGGAAACTGAGATTCAGGTACACTGGACATACTCCTGCTCCAAGGAATAAACCATTTGACCCACGAGGAATCACCACAGACAGTCAGAGTCACATCCTTATAGTTGATTATAATAATGACTGTGTCCATATCATAGACCAGGATGGACAGTTCCTCCGTTACATAGAATGTGGACTGAGTGATCCCTGGGGACTGTGTACAGATACAAATGACAATCTGTTTGTTACTCAGTTGGGAAACAGTCAAGTGAAGAAAATCAAATATCTGCAATGAAATGCATTACTGAATTGTGCTCTATATAATTAAATAAAGACATATGTATGTATCAGTATGCTGAACCAAAGAATCTTACAATAATAAATATTTCAGTTTCGTTATCAATGTGTATCTTTAATCATTTAAAAAATGATAACGTACACAGGAAATAATTGAAATTCAAGAGATTTACAATATATTGTTCTGAAGGACAGATGATACAAACAAAGCTTTTCTCTGGAGGAGACTTAATTAATATCATGTCACAAGTTTAGAAAAGTGGATATTTCTTAGAATTTTTTCTCCAAAGAACTGGAAAATGAAATAGACTTGGAAAATATTAGTAATATTTCAATAAAAAAACAAATACGAGGGGTGATCAAAAAGTTCGCGAACAAAGTGAACGACTTCCATAAAACAAATAAAATTAGGTTTCAGTGTTCATTATTTGTGTAAGTAGCCCTCTCTGATTTTAATGCATATTTGCCACCATTCTACACGGGTTGGTCCCCCGAATGGCTACTCGGAAAAAACAACAAGTAATTATCACACTCAATTAAGGGGCCCTCTAAGGGGTACAGGTAGACTTACCTGTGTTTACCTGGATAACCAATATTTCATAAATCAGATATATTCATTCAATTTTATTTTAATTAAGATTTTTTTTCATTTTCCGAAACATACTGAATAAAAAATAGATAAATAAATATAAATAGATAAAATTAAGATTTAAGAGAAATAAAATGTTTATTGTACTTTTAATTTTATTTTTTTTCATAACTAATCAATAGTATTGATTGAGAATTTACAAAATTATTATCCCCTTTTTGTGATTCATTTTTAAACTCTTTTAAATAAATCAATACAAATTTCTTAAAATAATATAGATATTTATGTATGATAAATAAAGTGTTTCTATAAAGTTTTGTATAATTTAATTCATTTATTTATCATTTTTAATTATCAAAACATTCTTTTAAATCATCATGAAAAACAGAAGTTTATATTTCAATTTTTATAATAAATATACGGACTCTGCATCTGAACTTCTTCACCTTGGATAGTGATCCCTTAGTTGTGATGAAACATATAAAGATGGACTAAATAAATTGTAAATATTGTAAATATGTGTGATATGAAAGTGAAACAGTGCTATTGAATATATAATGTGAAAGTCAGTGCTGCTTAACAATAGAACCTCAAGAAAATTTATAGTTTTTTAATATGTTTTGTGCTTGTAAAATTAATTAAAAAATATGTATACAAAATATCTATTCATACTAGTGCTCAAATAAAAAAAATGAATTAAAAAGCCATTTTATTTTATTTGAATTCTTTTAGATTATTCATACAGGTAAGTCTACCTGTACCCCTTAGAGGGCCCCTTAATTGAGTGTGATAATTACTTGTTGTTTTTTCCGAGTAGTCATTCGGGGAATAAACCTTCTACACATGCGTGAATCACATGATCCAGGCAGTCACGTGACATGCCCTGAAACATTCTGTTCATAGATGCTAAAATATTTTTTGGAGTCTTATATTTCTTACCATGCAAGTTCATTTTAATAATAAGAATGGCCCATTTGTCAAAATTGACCTAATCTCAGAGATAGGATGGTTGGATAAGGATATCCTTTCCTAAAAAGAATGATGATGACCATCACAACCCGAGATCTCTGTCTTAGGAACATCGTTTAACAAATATGGATATAGTTGAAGGGGTCTTCTTTTTATCATATTCAATATGTTAAAAGTCAAAATTAAAAGATATTTTAGGTATTTAAAAATAATATTATTGTTAAGATATTCAACCATTTTTCTAACTGTAACTTTGCAATCTTTCATAACAAATAGCCTTACAAAGGACACATCTTTTCCCAAGCTTGCTTTCGCTGTGGTACAAAACAAACATCATTTTTAACTATCTCCATCCCTTCACTAAAACAATCAATCCAATTCATGATTGAACGTCTGGAAAGTCTATTGTCTTCATAAACCTTGTTCAAATTATTATAAGATACATACTTCAAAGGAATTTCCAGTTTATATGTTAAACTTTACAGCCGTTTGTTGCTCGAGTAAGACAGACAACCATTTTTTGTCACAAGTAATCTACATATTGATGTAATTTTCACATTGCGATGTCACAATGAAGGAGAAAATCATTACTTTTTATATGCTATTTATAGAACATGTGCATGACTATAGGTGTGTCAAATATCATTCTGATCTGAATTGTGGTTTTGAAAATATAGAGATGGTTTGCAAACTTTTTGATCTACCCTCGTATACATAAATCACACTCAGCAGAGGTTACAGGTGAAAACGAATTTCAGAATATGTTACATTGATGCTAAATATACTATATAGCACCTATATACTTTTATTCACGTGTGATAAATATTTGCGAGCAGCTTCAACTCGCAAATATTAATCGCCATGAACCAATCATTTTGCTTAGTGTTTGTAGAGAATGTTTCCTCAGTCGCGAAAATTAATCGTCACGGATTGATTTCAAACTGACAAATCGTGAATAAAAGATCACAAAAATAATAGTTGGTTTACAGTATTTCTATGTAAGCTTTGATTGGCCATTGTGGCCCTGCCCTATCCCCACGGTCATGATTTGAACAAGATTAAATCTACATTACCTGAGCATGCTTCCATATAAATATGGGTAATCATGGCTTTGCTATTCGTGAGAAGAAGATTTTTAAAGAGTTTTCCTATATATTTCTATGTAAACCTTGATCAGCCATTGTGGCCCCACCCTACCCCTGGGGGTCATGATTAGAACAAACTTTAATCTACACTACATGAAGATGCTTCCATATAAATATGATTTATCATGGCTTTACTATTTTTGAGAAGATTTTCAAAGAATTTTTCCTATATATTTCTATGTAAATCTTTGGTCAGCCATTGTAGCCCCGCCCTATCCCTGGTGGTCATGATTTGGAAAAACTTGAATCTACACTACCAGAAGATTTTTCCCCATATGTTTCATCTTTCCTGGTAAAGTGGTTCTTGAGAAAGTTTTTAAAGCATGCCACCAGATTTAAACTAGTTTTGAATTATTTCCCCTTAAAGGCAGCAATGCCTTTCATTTGAACAAACTTGAATCCCCTTTACCCAAGGATGCTTTGTGGCAAGTAGAAAGACAGGTAGACGGACAGACAGATGGACGCTGGGCAAAATGTGATCAGAAAAGCTCACTTAATTGAGCTTTCAGCTCAGGTGAGCTAAAAACCTTAACCTGGGATGCCTAGTCTGAGGTGAGCTAACAATAGATTTCACAGTTCTGTTACTGGATTATTAGAAATGAGAGAGCATAGGATGAGCAGGGCAGTATTAGTGGGGTTGATATCTTAAACTTATACCCATATGTGTACTATTAGTTACATAGTCTTTTAGAGACAGGGTATGGGATGATACCTGGTTAGTAAATTTCATACATGGCGAGGCGGAGCCGAGTCAGTATGAAATTTACTAACCAGGTATCATCCCATACCCTGTCACTAAAAGACTATGTAACAAATTTACCCCACCGATGAAACATTCCCGTTTTATCTGTGGTTTATAAGTGATTTTCTGTGCTAAATGCTTTATCAGGCTTATACTGTGCCTATTATGACATCACGCTATGTTTGTTACGTAATACATCGACCGGGTATAGATTTACAACTGACCGGGTATAAGCAATCCACCTCCTTTAGGTGACAGACTTTAACCAATCGTAAGCCAGGATTTCACAGAAAAATCAACAGAGGTGGGATAATTGTGCATACACTTAGATGTACACATTTTTTGTAATTTGTCTGTTGAGATTTTTATGACATGTGACAAGTACTTGTACACCATGATCAATGTCTCTGTTTCAACTTTTTAGAAGTTTTGTTGCCTCAGTTTGATTTTAGTTCATAAACAAGACATGATTAAAATAAGTGCCCATGAAACTAAACATCCAAACTAATGTATAACAACTACATTTTCACACATAAATTGACTGATTTTTATTATTAAAGCTACATGTTTTCACTTATGTGTAGATGCCATTCTACAAGTTCTGAAAACTTGTCATCACTAAAATTTATGACATAATACACTAGGAATTTTGGGAATTTCCCCACTAGATGTACCCGTACATGTACACGTATGAAATCTCAACTTCTCTATTACATGTATCTCTCTTAAGGTATACCTTTACTCAGATGACTAAAAATTCCACTGATAAGAACGATAAATCACCTATTGCACATTGTACACCTATGATTCTTGTGTTAAATGTCAATTTCAAATAACTAGGTCAATGACCTCGTTTTCATGCTATAGTGGCCCCTGAGTATTTCTCGGAAAATACCTTAAATTTTGACACTATAATGACCATTTTTTCTTCACTCACAAAATATTACAAGCAACAAAACTCTTTAAATAATGAAACATTACAGCAATGGAACAGCGTTGCTTCATATAAAGAAATTATTAGAGTTTGGGTCATAAACATGATAGTTATGACAGTCCGAATTTCCTCTGTCATATTTATATTTTTTCCCCTTTTTTAATCGAATATTACAAAAATGTGACTGATAAGAACTTCATATTATTTATAGCCCCAGGTTACTTTCGTTACCCTAATTCTCTTGGTATTAATATTATATTGGGTCAATGATCAAATTATTGAGATATGTTGTCTGGAATGGTTTTTGTACATATTTTTGAATTTCTTTATTTCATTGCAGTCAATTATATGAAATAATTTATGAGCTTTAACGCATATAATATTTGCAAAATGATGTCTTAAAATAGATGTAACCTTTACTTTGTGATTAATATTGCAAGAAATAAAAATTTTGACAAAAAATGAAAAATTAAAAATGTAGTCCGAATTTCCTCTGCAGTACCATACATTGACTTTTGTTCCTGTATAATTTCTTCAAACAATAAAATATTAAATTTTCGAATTAATATTGAGATAAAACTTAGTTATTTTATCCATTTAGAACAATCTTTGATTTAACATATTATACTTCATAAAATTTCCTTTCTGATTTCTGAAACCTGAGTAAAGGTCATCCTTAATGCTAAAATTTCCAGTTGCTGCTAAACCTATTTTGGCCCTTACTGTCAATGTCTCCACTCACACAGACTTATTTTCTTTCTTGACAATATTGTCACTAACATGAGTACAAGCTTATCTCCCTTATTAAAGACATCATAACTCACACTCTCCCTTAGAGCTTACGTCTTCAATTTGGAAGACCCACTCTTTGTCTTCATACTCCACATGCTGACTGTCTCGGAACAAGGTCACCTGGATCTCGATGTTCTCCGGAACGGTCCACGTCACCAGGCCTCTGTAGGGATTCCGTATAGTGGGCTCCCATGTGTGTAGCTGCAGAAATAACCAATCAAAGGCTTCATCATTTCATATTAAATAACATATCAAAGGCTTCATCATTTCACGTTAAACAAGTTAACTAACAAAAATTTATTAAAAGATTTTTCAGCCAATACCACTGAAAATTTTGGTCCATAATGTGTACACAATTTGTGAATGAAAATTTTGACCACAATTTTACCCTCACAAAGCAGAGGTGGAAAAAATTTTGCCTTCTTTGAAATTTATATTCTTATTGCTTATGAAGAGATGTGTGCCCTTTGATACACTACAGTAGATACTCATTTTTTCCACACAACAGAGTGACAAGGGCAACACTTAATCAACATTTTCTTTTTCTGTACATGTATCTTTCATTGTCAACACACTAAGAGAACACTTAGACCTGTCTGTCATGTACAGTAGTGTCTCATTCAAAACAAACTTCCTTAACCTCTCAGGTTACGCTAGTTTCAGATGAAATACATTACCACCGCTGCAATATCAGTTAAGAACATAGACTATGTGTACCTGTGTTGGATTTCAAGGTCACTCACCTTTGTTGACCTGTGCCGGCTTCTTCTGGTCCATACAATACACAGTTTGTTAGGCTGCCTGCAGAGAAAGTCAATGGGATGAAATATAATCTATTATTAAAAACAAGCAACAATATTAAAAGTTGAGTTATTTACCACATATTTTGGCATTTATATATAAGCCTTAAACATTGCTGAAGAGTTTAAAAAATCATCTCCAAATATTCATCCCCCCCCCCTTCAAAAAAAAAATTACTTATACATACTTAAATATACATTTCACAGATGTTTTCTCATAAAGAGAAGATTGCTTTCCAGCTTTCATACCTCATAATACATAAAGACTGTTTCAATTACATTTTTAAGGTCTTCCGTTTCAGACGGAAGACCTTATAGTGATTCTACTGTTTTTTCTTCTTTTTATTATTTTTTTTCCCAAATCTTGTCGGCAAGATTTCTCAGAGATGGCTGGACGGATTTTTCTGAAATTTTCAGGGATGATAAAGAATGAAAATACCCCGAGACGTTTTTTTCATTTTTTCAAAATTCACTTCCGGTCGTCAGATATGTCCGATTTCCGCTTTTTTCAAAAATATTTGATCCGAGTGAGATCTCAGAAACGGTAAGAGATTAAGACACCAAACTTTCAGGGATGATAGATCTTGATAAGTAGGCAAATCCATTTGGGTTAAGATCATCCGTCGTCACTTCCGGTTGTCACAGGAAGTGTTTATAAATATCTAAAATTTCAACTTTTCTTTTTTGAAACTTTTTTTGCATCACATGATAGCATTTTACTTGTAGTGTTGAAATATATCAGTCGCACGGGAACCAAAAACGGCAACTTCCGGTTATAAGAGAAAAACTACAGAATTTGAGTATTTTTCTTTCCCATAAATATTTTTTATAGATAAAGTATTTGGAATGATTTTTGGATATGTTATTTAGATTGCAAATGCCTACAGTAACATCAAATATCTTTGTAAAATTCACTTCCGGTAGGGGTGAAACGATACACCTCCTTCACGGTTCGATACGTATCGAAAAATTTGGTCTCGGTTCGGTTATTTTCGATACGATACATTTTGATAGAAGGAAACAGATTCAGTGTTGTTTTATGCTACCTTTTACTTAATCTTGTAAAATAATTTATGTGCAAAATGGATAGAATGTATCAATTTAATTGATTTGACTGTTAAAAATTATTTTACAAACTACAAGTCCACACAAACTTACGTTTCTGAACTAATTATACAGAAAAGCATGTTTATACCTTATGCCAAACCCGAATGAATGACGATCCCGACCGAAAAACGAACCGAACCGAAAGTAGAGATTTTGTACCGTGTATCGAACCGAGATAAAATACCGCGGTGAACCGATACCGAGGTGAACCGTTTTACTCCTAACTTCCGGTTGCGTGATTTCCTGTCCTCAAAGTTAGAAGTTATCATAGCTAGATCTCGTAAACGGTAAGAGATTAAGACACCAAACTAATAGGGATGGTAGACCTTGATAACTAGACAAATCCATTGAGTTTAAGATCGTCCGCCGTCACTTCCGGTTGTCACAGGAAGTGATCAAATAAATCAAAATTTTCAACTTTTCTTTATGGAATCTTTCTTAGTATTAGCTTATAGCATCTTATTTGTAGTTTCGAAATATGTCAGTCCCATTGGAAACAAAAACAACAACTTCCGGTTATGAGAGAAAAACTGCATATATTGAGTATCATACTATCCCATAAATATCTTTTATAAAACGAGTATTTGAAATGATTTTAGGACGTTATTCAGACTGCAAATGTCTAGAGTAACCTCAAATATCTTTTTTTTATTTACTTCCGGTCAGATGATGTTTTTGTTCTCAAAACGAGAAGTAAACATTAGAGATCTTTTAAACTGTTACAGATCAAGACACTTCACTTACCATGAAGATTGTGCAACAGACATAGGGTAAAATGCGTTCACCGTCACTTCCGGTCGTCACAGGAAGTGATTAAAAATGATTTTTATAAGTGTTATGAAGACTATAATTGTCTAAAGTAACGTCGAGAATCTTGATAAGTTATACCTCCGGTCGTTTGTTTTCCTGTAATCGTTGTAAATATTATGTGCCTTTTTTAACATAGATAAAAGTTCATTCATACAGAAAAATAGAGGAGAACGGAAGACCGTTTTTGTTGCTGTAGCAACAAGAGTTTCTAGTTATCCGTATATTCATATGTAAGTAAAAATCTCTCTCTTTTAAAGCAAAAGTTGTCAATGAGCTAAAATTTTCATACACTACTACTAAATGGCCCTACTTCAAACTTAAAATGAGGAAATAAACCTCTTACCTCTAGACTATAAGTTACAAGAATACTAAGAAGTCTCTCATATGGAAGTTTTAAAAATTTGAAGAGAACATGCAGCTTTCCACCCTGCCATAATTTTATGATGTGCTTTAAATATGAAAGCTGCTTCTTAAATGCAGTAAAACTACTTATTCTAATGGGGTCAAATTTTTGTGGTCTGAGGAAAAATATAGGATGTTTCTGTGTATTAATAATTGTACAATTATTTACCTTGAGTTTTTTGTTTTTGTTATTTGTTTTGGTTATTTAAAAAAAAACATGTGCAAGAGGAAATGTCAACTCTAACATGTCTAAAAATATTATTACAGTCAATAATTTTTGAAAGTATCATTCTATCAACCAATTGACAATACCCAGATTTCCACTCACCATTTTTTGGTACATTCTACTTCAAGTTCCTGGTATGACGCTGTGAACTGAAATTTTGACGCATCCTTTCCAACTCTCTGAAGTCTTTTCCAGACACTCATCTTTAATTACATTGTCTGAAACAGATAAACAAGTAAATGTGTTTTTAATCATGAATAAAAGAAACCACAATGCATGCTACAGCCAGATTGCAAAATATTGATTGAATTGCTAAGATGGATCAAGATGGGGCTATACATTGGCCAGTACAAAGTAACTGGCACATAATACAAAGAAATGAGGCAGATTAGGCAGATAATTACCCTTCCAAATAAATAACCAAATGTATGATTAAACAATGTTAAATGACAAAGTATTAAATTTTAATGAAAATGACAGTGGTACAAGTACTCAATTGAAAATACAAAGTTTTGTTTCTTTGATATTAAACAGCAATACAAGTTTACAAGATGAATATCAGTATCTCATGAATCATTGATAGCTCTAAATCTCTGGATTATGGTACAGTTGTTGGTATCAAATGAAAGGTCTTCTCAAAAGGATTACATGTGTGAAGTATGAAAGCCCTAGCCCTGTATCATGAATGGTCTATGTAAAAATGAATTTAAAATCCTAGCAATCTTCCTTTATACATTTGAACTTCAATATTTTGATTTAACTCCAATCAAGATTGACATAACATTTTTATTATTTTAATTTAAATTTTAAAAATACCTGTTGGGATTGTAGAAGTGACTAGTAGCAGACCCAACAATACTCTTTTGAGTTCCAAATTCAATATCAGATCTGGACCCCTCAAATAACCTAAATTTTTTCAACAGTCCTACAGTTACTTAAACACACAAAAATTTTACATTATGAATTTCATCGTCAACCTCATATGCATCATTGCAAATCTGTTCTATACATTTAGGTTTTAGAAAAAGACAGAAAAAATGGCTTAAACTGTGACATATTATGCTCTCCATGTACTTACGATATAAAACACCCTGTTAAGTTCCCATGATTATATCAATTAAGTTCAGGTTAATAAAAAGAATAAAAGGTAACTAGGTATAATGCACTTGTATTATGTTTCATGGTCACAGATATTACATATGTATAACCTCTACAGGTGGTCTATAGGAAAACATCAATTGTCACTTCTTAATGAGCAAGTCAAAAGAGGAAAACGATTGGTCATCTCTGATGTAGTTCATCATGAATCAAAGACATGAAATGTTAAAGCATGAAAATGAAGAGGTCATCCAAATCAGACAGGTTTTTTTAAACAAAGAAAAGGTTTACAAATTACATAACTCTGTGGGGGTTACTGGGAATTAAATCTAAAAAAAAATGTATTTTTCTCATGTAAAATCACAAAATGTCAGCAAAATCAGTCAAAGGTCAAGGTTAACTTTTTGATATTGCAATAATAACTAGTCATTTTGATTGAAGTACATGGGAAGCTGGAAGAGTTTATTTTAAGTATATAATAACATTTAACATGATAAAACTTAACTACATGTAATATTTTGAAGGTCTATAAGGAACAGATTCATCATGTTCATGCATGCAGACTGTCATCCTTGACTGCTTTTTATTATGTCATTTTGTATAACACTCAGTCCATTGATGATCGATAATCTAATATTTTCCTTATCATATGAATTGTAGTACGAGATTATGACACTGCAGAGTTGGATCTTGAAATGAGAAGAATAAAAATCATTTAAAATACTGATGTTGTCAGTACATTGTATATATTTAAAGCTTAAAACCAAATAATCACCAACTTGCTAAGCCAAATCCTTCTAACAGTAACAATCCACTGCAATACCTGGTACTCGACTATAAGTCAGATTTTGGGGAGCTAAACTTTGGTCCAAAACTCTACGTCTGACTTATAAGCGAGTTATAAAAAGACTGACATTTAAGAAGGTTATCCCCTCTAATATAAGCTTCAAAATACAACCAACTTATAGGCAGACCAACTTATAGGCGACTATATACGGTACATACATTGTCGGAGACAGGTCAGTATCCATGCATTAATTAAGGTCTTCCGTTTCCAACGGAAGACCTTCTACTGATTCTGATGGTAAAGATTATTATTCTTTTTTTTTCTTTTACTTCCTAGACCGCAACTTTGAGGCCTCATATCTCACTCATTTCTCAACGGATTTCGCTCAAATTTTCAGAGGTTATAGACGTTTATAAACTCTATCAGAATGCTGACTAAAATTTCAAAAAGTCACTTCCGGTTTTGAGTTATTTCCCTTTAAACGAAAATTTATAGGCTTTCGTTTCCAGACAAAGGCTCAAAGACGCCTAAAGCTGGAGCAGAAATTCTACTGGTTTTAGATAATAGAAAGATTGAAGTTGTGCACATCGGTTTTTGTTTTTCGATTTCTCTATTCAAAATGGCGCTATATAGGGGTCAAAAATTAGAACGCTTAAAAGAACCAAAAATTACTCATATTTTGCTTTTTATCTTCTAAACTAAAAATATTTTGTTAACATATATAGAACATAATTTGTGCAGAATTAGAAGATCTTTTAAATGATGTGTCGAAAAAAGGGCTGGCCCTAAATTAAGGGATTTAGAGGGGCCAAAAGTTTTTTCCATATATCTCAAAAAGTATTGAGAATTTGTAATACATTAAAGAAGCAAAGTTGTTGAAAATGTCAAGCTTAATCTGATGAAGTCATCAAAATACGTCCAGCGTCATCACTTCCGGCCAAACAGGAAGTAGTCGGAAAACGCGTATTTTTGCCGTTTGTGACAAGTTTTCGGGTTACATATGTCTCTGGGAGCTTAAAAATTAATTTTCCTTGCGTCGTCGTCATTTCCGGTCAAACCGGAAGTAGCAAAAATGGCTTATATTTGCATTAATTAACATAGCTTTAGAGGATTCTAAGCCTTTTTGGGCGTTATTTCTCATTTTTGTGAAAAATAAAAGCTACTTCCGGTCAAACAGGACGGAAGACCTACTCGTTGCTTTGCAATGAGCTTTGCTCTAGTTTGAAGTATTTTTCTTCCTATATACGTAATTCTCTCACAAGAACAACTTCAGGAAGTCAAGCCAAGGAAGTGAATCAACACAATTTCAAAAATGACAATTTATACTTGATACATAAAAATTTTCTGATACTTAACATTTACGATTTAGTACTTATAAATGTTTATATCTATACTTGCATGTGCAAGACATGGATTTCTATTTGATTTATGTCAACATGGTCAATGGCATGTATTTTAAAATACTAGCTATAATTTTATTCTTTTAATGTTTTACCCTACTGTTAAAGTAAATAAATGCATATACTTTATTTTCTGAAAAATGATATAACTTCTGGAAATTCACAAAGGAATCTAATTGAAGTGTGTGTCTGACAATGAGGAAACCCGTCCTTTGTTATCTAACAGGAAGGTTGCATGTAATTATAGTGATTACGGATTTACCCAAGAAAACTGGATTATAGATATATCTGGCTTCACGTTTTGAGGAACTCTCATTACATATTCAAAGTCTTGATAAGACAGCTTTTGGCATGGTCTATATGTTATGACTCATGCATTCATAAACAGATAAATAAATTACAATAATTATTAACCTGGCTCAAAATAACATATAATGTAATTGTTTGCCATTTAAGGTATGTTTTTACATACATGTATCTATATTTACCCATAGAAAGAGGTATTTATAAGTACTCAAATCAACATTCCTTTCTATCAGTTTCACAAACACATATGAAAATGTTGAAAGTCAGTGTATTTGAACATGTTGAAAATCAAAAGTATTTAACGTTCTTGCATTGTGAATTTTACTGTGTATACTTATTACATTGCCCTAACTTAATAGTCAATCAGTCATAGAAAAGCAAAGAAAGGATTTATCACAATGAATTGCTATTTGCTAGATGCATCGATACTGATAAGACAAGTATATTTCAATACTGAATGTTTTCATTTTTTAAGTGTAATATTTATTTTTTAATTTCTCAATTATCCCTCTACCTGGTATGAATATTAACATGCAAACATAATTAATTATTGTTATGTCTTAGTTTATCATGTGTATAATCTACTGAATGTGACTGATATTTATTTTCACGAGTAGTAACGTATTGGACATAAAGATTAAAGATGTTACTTTCTCTTTCACTATATCTGTAAGCAGTATCTATGTAATGGTTTAGGTTGTGGATATCAGCCTGGATAGCTCATTCGGTAGAAACCTGACTGGTAATGCAGGGGTCCCTTGTTCAATTCCCGGTCCATCCATTTTATCCTTTCTTGTTAAATATTTTGTGTTAAAGATTGAGAAACCCTGGACTTGCAGGTTAGAGTCCTGCTTGGGGCCATAAATAAAAAGATAATGGATATCATCCAGGGTAGCTCAGTCATTAGAGCACCTGACTTGTGACCCAGGGGTTCTGGGACTGATTCCTGGTCCAGTCATATATAATATATTTTTTTTTTCTCCTATCCTGTTACCCTCCCCCCCTCCCCCGCTGCTGTGTACTCAGAACCTAATCCTAATTAGAAATAGGGGAGTTAACAACACAGTATTAAGTTTAAGTCTACAGAAATTCCCCACCCCTACCTCTGTGTCCCCACCCAATTAAAACTAAAAAGGTGTAGACTGAATCTCCATGTTGCCTCATCAACATAATAAGCAAAAGACAAAATAAACCTTTAATTACCCATACATGAAAAGTGTAACTCGTGACGACTGTATATGGACCGGTCTACTCGATTTGGTGATACCAATTTTAATGTAAACTGAACTAAATATGAATAAATAAATACGTACATCGACCTCGAGCATCACTGACGGGAAATCGCACCACAAGGTGAGATCCATGATATATCACGTGACAATAACATTGGATGACGTTTTGCAAAATACAAAATGATGTTTAAGAGGCCGATTGATAATCAGTTGATGAATTCAGATCGTTCATGTCAATCTTTGTAACTAAAGAGACTATTCATACATAAGAGCAAAATATACAGCATTAAATTTCGACTTTTGGATAATTATGACTGCTTTAAGGGCAGTTAGTGAAATCATAAAATTTTGCTAGCTTGTTCGTAGTTTATTCGTAGAAAAATTTTGCAATTTCTTTTAATTGGATAAAGCAAAATCACGCGGTATATACACACTGTTTAAAAAATGGAGGATGTATATTATCAGAATTTAATCTGCTTTTATTTAGTTAAAGGACGACTGCACTTAAAGCTGTGTTTGGGGTCTCAGTCGCTTCTGTTGCCTAATTACACTGTTGTACAAAAAACGCTGTGCGTAATATTTGTGTATATTTTTCTCATTTATTTTTGTTAAAAGTGACATATAGGTCCGATGGGCCGGGTGTTTGGATATTTTTACAAAATATTGTCTTAGGAGAGGACTATCTTATAAGTTACTGAACTTGTGTCCGATCCTTTTGACTTTGTTCAATAAAATATATATGTTCAATTCAAAATTTGGATATTAATTAATTGTATTAAATGTTTTTCATTGTATTGTATAACACATGTCACTATAATAAACAATTTACATGTACTTACTTAATTACTGCATATTTACTGCAAAACTCTGGCAATTTGGCACACAATTTAAATGATAAAACTAATTTTAGACTGTAATGCAATAAACTAATTCCATGTTTTTCCTCACTGTTTTCCAAATACAGAGAATTTACACTTACTTGCCCTTGATTGAACATTATATATGCATGAGAGGTGGGGCTAACATCGTAAGAATGGGTCTAAAATTAGACTAGATGAATAACAATTACAAGTATTTTAAAAATATGATATCACTATTTTTCATCTCCCTCTTTATTCTGTAAACTATTTACAAAGAACTGTTTAAAACGTAATTAACAATTAAAATGAGCCTGTCCAAGTAAATGTAGGTCATGAATGTTTTTGGCTTTTTATCACTTTACCCCCGTCTGATGCCATACATTTCATGGTTCAGTAGTTTTGACCAGCGATTTTAGTGCAAAGTAACCAAAATACACATCTGACCAATTTTCATTATTTTCAGTCATAGTCAAAATATTTTCGCATATTATGTTCTCATGCGTTTCTTTTTCCTTTCAATATACCAATGGTATATTGAAAGGAAAAAGAAACGCATGAGAACATAATCAATAAAACAAATAGTTGAATACCATGGTAACCATGGTATTCAACTATTTGTTTTATTGATGTGTAAAGTTTCATTTAATTACATTATTTTTCTAACAATTAGTTGTTCTCGTTGATTAATTTCATTTGTCAGTGTTTTAATTTCTTTTACGACTTAACTGTGCTTTCAAATTTGCTTTTTGTCACATGTAAGAAGAAAAGACCTTTGATAAAATTGATATTTGTAGAAGTAAAAACAAAATGTAAGGGAGTGTACTTCTTATGATTATCCATTCTGTTACTAAACTAAATGCAGGGCTTTGATGTATTTCATGCTATAATAAGCATGTATAATAAACTGTCAGTAGAATCTGATAGAGTTTTAGGAATAGTTCTGTTAGCAGTTAAAAAAAAATATTAACACTACCCCCCCCCCCCCCCCCCCCATCAGAGTTGGTGGTAAACAATCATTCAATATGATTGGCCAGTATCATCGAGCTTTCGACGGACTCTGTATTTCATATGCAAAGTAGTACGTATTGATTTCATTGAAATCAGACATCCAATCACGGAATACCGGGTAATAATTTCTTCTGACTACATGTATAAATGTCCTCTTGGTGGTAAACAGTCATTCAATGTGATTGGTCAATATTATCGAGCTATTGATGGTCTTGTATTTCATATGCAAAGTAGTATTGATTTCATTGAAAACAGACATCCAATCAATGAATACCGGGTAATAAGGTAATCAGTTTGTGAAAATTGTTCTATGTTTGGTCAACAAGATTACATGCTGTGACTGGAAATATATTAAAGCCTTTTGCAAGTTGAATTAATGAATTTTAAAAATGAAGTAAATTTCAGAATATCAACAGATATTATAAAAGTCGGTACAGAATTTAATTTTTCTAAACAACAGATATTTTAAAAATCAATATCGATAATTAAAAATACAAAATTCGTATCGGGGAGTTTATATCCTTTGTAAAAGTTGTGTTTTAAATTGAAGATTTTTTAACTAAATGTTAAATTCTATAATACTTAGTAATTTCCGAAAAATGAAGTGTTAGATATTGTACTTTTAAACTGTTCATCATATGTAATCTAAATAACAAATAGCTTAAGAACTTGAAGACATTAAATACAAAATTTGTTTTAAAATTTCAGATTCCTAAAACACATATATAGGAATTAATTTTAATAAACTTAAAAATTCAGAATCAGCCTGTGTTCTTTAAGTTTAGAAGTTTTAACTAAAATAATTATAATTTAGAGCTTGAATTATTTTCAAAGTTTGAATAATTCGGTGTTATGCAAAGTATTATGCATCGATAGAAAAAAAAATACATTTCTGAAAAATAAATTTTAATCAATGAAAATTTGTATGAATTTATTAGAATATTTCCATGATTTAAAAATCATAATCCAAATTCAATTATAAGAAGTTTGAAGCTTTGGAAATATATATTTATATACATTTTTTCTCTCACAGTGAAGTAATCCATAAAGATAATTCAGCGTAAATTTGAATAAAGTATGAATTAAATCTGATATTGTGTCTAGAATAAAATTCAATGAATTTGAATAGTATTAATGCATGAAAACTTAGGAATTAAATAATTAAAAAAAATTGATATGATTTTTTGGCATTATAACGTATTAAAAAAAAGGTTTATATTTTGTAAACTCATGATAATTGGTATAAATCAAAACAAATTTAATCATAACATTCATGCGAAGTTTTATGCAATTCAACAGACGGAAATCATGCTTATTTAAGGAGGCTCATTACACCACTTTTTGATGACGTACTACACAAAAAAATAAACCTCCATTGTGTCGGCCGATTTGCTCAGGGAACGAGTAGAGTAGGAACCTCTATAATATGACCCTGACCTTTAAAACGCTTTAAAAATAGATGAAACATGCGGTGTTGTAAACAGTGAAAACAAAGTAACGGATTCATTATGCATAAACCAAGAAGAATTGCTTTTAGGCAGTAACAAAAGAAAGCAACAGTCAAATCTTCGCCAAACAAGTAATGTCAATTTCATAGCCATGCATGCAGTGAGCTCTATCAATCACTGACATTTATGTATGGAAGAAATTCGAGTTAAAATCTACAACCTCGTTGAAATTAAAATTTTATTTAATTGCACTCTTTACTGTGTTGGTGTTAATTTATATATTTGTTTTATTGATTTAAATGTATGCTCTGGCAATTTAAAGCTTTAATATGAATTTCAGAAGTAATGTCAAACGTTCCATAGTGTTTTGAGTCTTGGCTAATTAGGAAAGATAACTCTTGAAAGTGGACTTTTTATACCAAATATTTTTTAAATTGGATTTTTCATTTCGTTTAAACATTCTTCATTCAATTTGAAACATGTAATTCATTGAAATACATTCCTTGTCTCTTCAGAACACACTTTTTAAACGTTTTATGCATAGATTAAAAAGATATTGACATAAATTGTTTTTTAGGAGAAATTTTTTTTTCTAATAAAATTATTATCAGGTATTATGAGGTATTTTCACTTTGTGTACTTGTCTTAAGAAGATGCCCATCATTTGACACTGAAAGTTCTGAAATTCTGTGAATAATAAACCTGAAATAAAACATTTCACTAAAATAAAACAAAAACTAAAAAATTCTATAAAAAATAGTTATGATATCAATACCCCCATCTGGATATTTGACATCTACATTATAAGTGGTGCTGTATTGAAATCTAAAATAAACTGTGGATGTAATGAGCCACCTTAATTTGCAAGTGTAGGTTATTTTTGGCATTCAAATTTGTACAAAATATATGTATTGCATTGAAATATACACATACAAGCGAATTATATTAATTTTATGGGTTAAAATTTGCATCGTTCATATATAATTCACTTGCATGATTTGTCCAAACTTTGCCTAAAAACACCAAAAAATATAAATGCATTCCTAAATAATATAAACACTATCACAAATCTCCTTAAATTATCAATAATAATAAATGAGCAAAGATTACAATCAATGAAAATAATTAGCATATACTAGTCTAGAATACCACAAATCTGCATAAGCAACAATAACTTAAGAAATAATTAAATTCAATTAAAAGCAAAATACCAAATATTTGATTATTTTTCATTACATATGTGCTGCTAATTGCATGCAAATGAAGCTAATTTTAAATAATTTTATGCAAATGAAGATAATTTAATGTAGAGAAAGCTAATCTTATGCTACTGAAGCAAAAATGGCTTCATTTGATTGAAAAAGTATAAATTTGGTGCTAATATTATGCAAATTTATGTAAAGGAAGCTAATTTATGCTAATTTTTTTTTTTACAACTGAAGCAAATGTTGTGCTAATTTATGCTAATGTAGCTAATTTTATGTAAATGAGGTTGATTTTATGCAAATGAGGTTAAATTAGGCTAATTCATGCATTTTGCATAAAATAAGCTTCATTTCCATAAATTTGCATAAAATTAGCTTAATTTGCATAAAATTAGCTTAATTTGCATAAATTTGCATAAAATTAGCTTCATTAGTGAAATTAACATCTTTAATTATGCAAATTTATGCAAATAAAGCTAATTTTATGCAAATGAAGCTAATTTTATGCAAATTTATGCAAATGAAGCTAATTTTATGCAAAATGCATGAATTAGCTTAATTTAACCTCATTTGCATAAAATCAACCTCATTTACATAAAATTAGCATAAATTAGAACAAAAATAGCTTCTTTTAAAACAAAACTGCAAAAAATTAG